GAAAGATTTAAGAATTCAATGACTTAAATTTCTAACTTAAATAATGTCCAACATATATGAATGAACTCTTTGAGATATGTCTTTATAAATTTTAAATGTGACTTATCTCTCTAACAATGGATATAAGAGTCGAAGGTTCGACTTAAACACAATGATTGTGTGAAATCGAAACACTTAAAAAGACGATGTACTAAATCAATTTATGCAGGAATGCAAAATTAAGGCCATGATTGAGACTAAGTTGATACAACTTAAGTAGTAAAGTTGTGTGTTATGATTGAGTCCAAACTTAAAAAACATTGAAACAATCTAGATCTGGAGAGACAAAGTTGAATGTTAGGCTTAAAGGGCACTGAGATCATTCAAGATGTGAGGTTGTGTGATTAAAAAACAAGTGTTGATAAAATTTACTCATATAAAAAAATTAAAATGAGACTTAATCAAAATTTACAAATGAACGAGAGAGATCCTTAAAATAAAGTTCACTACATAAAGCTCAATAGTTTAAATTTTTAAACTAAATAATGTCCAACACACACACACACACACACATATATATATATATATATATATATATATATAACTCCCTAATGTACTATCATGCAGTTCAAATATGACTGATCTCCTCGTTATAGAGTACAGCTACAGCCATCAGATTAACATTCCATTGTCACAGTAGGAATCTACTAAAGTTTTTAGCAGCAAACCGTAGTCAACTTTAAGGTTGAAGTATATATACCATTTGACTATCTAATTGCAGTAATTCTAGTGGTTTAATCCTGGCTATTCTGGGGCCTGAGGGAGAAAAAAGTTTAAAAATTCATACATTTTCTTGGATTTTTTTTATATATTTAAAGTTGTCATGATTGAACAAGAAATTTGAAATTAAAAGTCCGTAAGATCATACAACTATTGACGGGTTTTTTTTCCTATTTGTATTTACTTTCTAGGAAAATCTCAAGTTATTAACAAACTTAAAATAAGAGCTAAAATTTTCTGTTTACATCTTTATAAAGTGTAAAGGAAGAGGAGGAATGTAATCTGCAAATATTTTAATTTTTGGTGACAGTTTGTTTATCCTATCTTCTGCGGTAGCAGGCGTGGAAAGGCACCTAATATTGTCACTATATATTGCAAATGCAGGACAAAATAAAATCTAGGACAAAGAACCTAATTAAAACCATATTCTTTTACAATTTGCTAGTACTCTAACCACATATGGAAATACTAAATCATAAAAGGGAACCAATTTTGCCATTGCTTACTGATAAACAGTACAGTGCCTTTCCACGTTAATGGAGGGTCCAACTAAAAAAAATTATAGAGCTATACTAAACAAAGCAATTGAACTTTAGAAGGAATATCAATAAAACTACATTTCCTTTGACTAGAAAGACAGATCAGAAAAGGAGACTGCAAGTTGGTCCCTTTGGCCTTTGGCATTGCCTATAAATTACTTGGCTCCAGCTTCTTGTCACTCGTGCAGTTATTTGACCTTTTAGCTATACACTGTCATCACACTCTTATTTGCTTCTCTCATCCCAAGTAGTAAATCTTCTTCATTGCTATTTTCTAAGGCATCGTACGGTCATTCTTTGGACTGTCTTACTTACTCGAACCTTCTCAAATTGCTGCATAAAGTAAAAGGTAAAGTTTCCCAAAGAACAATCATTTGCATGTTCTTTTATTGTTACTCAATTTATTGTTACTCAAATTTTCTACCTACCTGTAAACATCAAGGTATTCCGAATTAGCAGTGGCACTATACAGTATAAAATAATGAAATGAAAGATTAGTTTTTTGCTTTAAATTAATGTTGCTGTTTCACGACAGGTTAATCATGATGAGAATTTCCCTGTCTATGTGCAAAGAAACAGTGCCTTTACTGGACATACCTTCTGGGGTGCTGAAAGCTGACTTCTTTATTCCTAGGCGACAAAAAGAGAAGGTTGTGATCCTAATGGGAGCAACCGGAACCGGCAAATCAAGACTCTCCATAGACCTTGCGACCCGATTTCCAGCAGAAATAATAAATTCAGATAAGATACAAATACATGCGGGACTTGACATAGCCACCAACAAAATCACTGAGGAAGAACGGTGTGGAATTCCACACCATTTGTTAGGTGTGATAAATCCCAATTCAGATTTTACAGCAACAAATTTTATTGACATGGCTTCACATGCCATGGCTTCAATTGTGTCCCGTAGCCAGCTTCCAATTATAGCCGGAGGCTCAAATTCATATATTGAGGCCTTAGTTGATGACAAAGACTTTAGATTCCGATCAAAATATGAATGTTGTTTCCTTTGGGTAGATTTAGCAATGCCAGTACTCCACCAGCATGTATCTGAGCGAGTAGATAAGATGGTTGAAATGGGAATGGTCGATGAGGTAAGGAGTTTTTTTTGATTTCAATGCAAATTACGAACGGGGGATTAGGAAAGCCATTGGAGTTCCTGAATTTGACCGGTACTTCAGAGCTGAACCATTTTTGGACAAACAAGGCCGTGATAAACTGCTACAAGAAGCAATACAAGAAATCAAAAGAAATACTTGCAAATTAGCTTGTCGTCAACTGGAGAAGATTCACAGGCTGAGGAATAACAAGAAATGGAAGATACACAGGCTCGATGCCACTGAAGTTTTTCACAGGCGTGGCAAAGATGCTGATGAGGCATGGGAGAAGCTTGTAGCTGGTCCAAGTACAGAGATAGTGGCAGAATTTCTATACAATATCAGCTCTGAGGCCCTAGTCACTGATCCTGCCATTAGAGTGCCTTGTGGCATAATGCTGTAAAATCATATCTGAACCAGGAATTAACTATTGAAGTGATACATTTCAATTTTAAAATAATGGAAATATGCTACTTAATGGAAGTCACTTTTGGAAAAAAGATACTTCAATTTCGCAGCCCCCTGCCATTTAATGATGTGAAAGCATTTTTTATTTTTTCCTTTTCGATGTCTCATCAGTTGAGATACCATTTTTTTTTTTCTGATATACTTATTATATCAGAAAGTACTGTAGGATACCTTTATCTTGCCACTTGAACAGCAAAATAAAAATCAAGTGATGCAACTGTTTGAACTGGTTGCTGGGATTGTAAATTGTAATGCAGACTTTGGGGGAAGGAAAGAACCCATGTAAAAGTAAGTTGTTTTGTTTTTATTTTCATTTGGCAAGACATGTTAATGCAAGTTTATTGTTGACCGGGAGAGTAGCATTTTATCAAAAACAAATAACTGAAACAACTTTTCAGAAACACTCCGAACGGTACAACAGCAGTAAAAAGAAATGAAATGCATGTACTTGATTAGTGGCAGTACTGGAAAGCAACATAGAAACCGGTGCTTGCTCTCGCTTACTTCCTTATAAATTTTAATGGGGAGTTGGGGCCGTTGGAAGCACACGCCTGATGCTCATGCCCCATGGCTAGTTGGTGGTGCCTGTTAGCTGCTCAAGATTCTCATAGCCACTTGTCAAAAGAAAAAGACTGAAATTTTGTTATTAACGAAGATGCATGAGAAGACAGAAGAGGAGAGAATACCAATTATTATAGTAATGGTTTGATACTGATATTCGCCACTAACTATGAATGCTTGATTGAGTTTAGATATAATTATTATAGTATTGTCAGGGATCAGTCTTAAAGATTGTAAATAATTCTTCCCAAATTCAGCAACTTTTATCTTTGACTATTGTACTCAAAAGCATTTTTTTATTAAGGAATCCTACATGCGGTCCATTTCCTTTTTTTTTTTTAAAAAAAAAAGGTTATCCATGAAACATAAGAATAATTTGAGTGTTATTTGAGGCTTGGCCGGCTTTCTAATTCTTGATATACAGTGGTTTAATACTACTTTATTATAAATAAGTGGACAATGGTAAGGGAGAATCAAGCGTATATTTTGAATGGCAGAACATTGCAATTGTTGACCAGGGAAATTAAGGCTGTGAAAAGAAACTTGACAACTAGCTAGAGGCTGTTGAACTTTGATATTAAAATACATATATTCATATATGCTGATAGATTCTTTAGCACCACGGAAAAGAGAAATAGAGGTTTCATCCAGCATACAAAGTTGTCGTGTGGTCCAATATTTGGTTTGGCAGTCGATTATTTTAAAGCAGACAAAAGCTTCAGCGATATGGAATGAATATGGAGCAACATGAAACCGACTAGCTAGCATAACCAAACTGTAAACCACTTATTCTGTTTTCTGGAAATTTGAATCAAAGCTAAGCTATGGAATAAACTTTTTGTTCAACGAGTCAGCATTTAGCACTTTCTCTAAATTTCATTCGGGTGGCTGCTGTTGTCGTTTCGACAAGATGTACGCAATATTCTCTTTGCGGAAAATGACGATAGCTCTGGGTATCGAATCCCATGAACTATAACCTTTGATGAGAGCTTTTACAACATGTTGCCCTATGGAATGATTTTTGAATAATTTTTTGATGATATAAAACAGGATTGCAACGTTTGGTTGCCTCTTGCGCAAGTGGGGCTTGACTCTTGAGTGTAACCTTCTGATTCTGAAGTGCATAGAAGTTAACTAAAGAATTATAATGCAGTTGCATTTGCCCGAAGATTTTTATTATACAAGTGTTTTAGATATTTTCCCAGAATTTGTTTCATTGAGTTGGAGTTGGAAGATCCAAAAACAAGAATATTTCTAGATTCATGTATGTTCGATATCAATATGAAAATGACAATTGAAAGCGAAGTAAATGCTAATAAGAAACCATGAACAATTGTATGCCTGCTCAGTATACATGTCATGAGGAGAAATTAAGAACAGAGTAAGAAGGCAAGGCCGCATTCCATGGTAAAATCATTTATCTCAAATTGGATTAAAAAAGTGAAAGTAATTTGCAAAGGAAAAAAATAACGGTGCATTATTGTTAATTAGATAAGGAAATCTAATGTTTTGGGTATAATTCTTCTGAAGCAATAATTTTTATTATTGGATTTTTCTAAAGAGGTTGTGAGAAATAAAATGCAGAATAAAAATAAACTTTCTGTATAATACTAACATAATAGCAATATATTTTTGCATCAAACTCGATACCAAAAGAAGATAGCCATAATTGAATTGCATAGAATCAGCAGTAGCAGATGAAAAATGAGCAGCTGCATCATGGTCTTAGTCGCCCTCCACATGAGAAGGTGACGTTGCAGGTGTCATCAACAACGACAGTATACTGATGATTAGGCCTCGAAAGGAAAGGGGGCAAGTGAACCAGAATGTCACAGACACACTCAGTGTCTACCTGCTTCAGCCATTGACAACAATAATATTGGTCATGTGTCTCATGATGCCCATGCCTATGCCTGTGTCCGTGCCTGTGTCCTTGTCTATGCCCATTTCTACGTCCTAATTCTGGGGGAGGAGGGGATGGAAGAGCTGGGTGAGGAGTTGCTGGTGGCAATGGGACTAGTGGCACCATTGCACATACATAGTTCACCAGGGCAAATTGGGAAGCGCAAAGTAGACGGGGTGCCGCTATTTGCTTTGGCGTTAGGGGCAGGGGAATAGGCAGGGCTACGAAGAACATCGAGAAGAGAAATAATATAGGAATCCCGATCTTCACCATTCCTAATCCTATCTCAATAATTTTCTTCAGGTAATATGAACCAAAAAAAGAGGGGAATTTGGCATCTCAGCGTTGGTTTCTTCTATTTCAATTTATACTCGATTCATTCATAGACTTTTTGCTTTCTTTCTTCTGAGGCAATTAAGAATATAAAAACAGGGATGACCAAGAGAATAAGGGAATGGTTTGTTGATGTATATTTATTTATCTAGTATTCCTTTTAGTGTGAAGACTTTGTTAGGTGCCAAATTGTTGACAATATATAATATGCTGATCTCAAATCATTCCTCCAAGAAAAATACCAGTCTGCAATTTGGTTGGTGGTGGCCTTCCAGAAGTGTGACAAACCTTTTTGTTTCTGATACGACAAAGCATTTTTCTGGGGATTGAATAGAAATTGAGACTCTGCAATACATTTCATTCTAAAATCAACCATGGCTGATGGCTATTTGTGAGGTGGGCACCGTTTTAGAACCAGAAAGTCGTAGTGAAATTGCATCAGGTAGTACAGGTACATAACTTTAATAATTACCAGCACAAACTGATCATTTTACAAACGGATTGGACAGGACAAACTCCAGCCATTTCCAAAACAATACATTGGGTGATCGAATCAGCAAAGTAAAATATGAAATAGTTGGATGGATAAAAACATCAAAAGTAAAGTCGGCATTTTGTTACAGAGCTGCATTTGGGCCAACCCATGAAAGAATGCTGGAATGCATAAACCCACAATGAATCCAAGGGAATCCATTTTACATGGGCTTTTGGAGACTAAGGCCTTGATCCAAGCCAAGTAAACATGCACAATGAGGCCCATGACGGAACATAAATTTTAAATTAAAACTTTAAAATCAACATATGATTTGACCGCTTTTTTGTCTCGTATTCATAAATCCCAAAAGTTGTTCCTTTCTCTCCGGCACGCGCGACGCCACCCCCCCCCCCACAAGATCCTGCAAGCCACAAAACAAAAGCAAGGGTGTCACCACTCACCACTTCACCACACACCACCGCCAACTCCGCTCTCCAGTCAAAAGCAGTATCCGAAAAGGACAGAGACCCCCATGACCTTAGCTCGGACGATCATGACGTTGTCATCGCTGAACGACTTCGTCTTCGAACCTGACGACATCCCCTTCGGCTCCGTTAAGTGGTTCGTCTACGCGGGATTCTCCTGCTTGCTCGTGCTCTTCGCCGGCATAATGTCTGGTCTTACTTTGGGTTTGATGTCTCTGGGCCTCGTTGAGCTCGAAATTCTACAGAGAAGCGGCACTATTACCGAGAAGAAGCAAGCTGGTAAACTCCCATATTCAATGTTTCAGTTTTCTTTAATTAGTCAACAGTAACTGAAAAACTAGTAACGGTTCCCACTAATTAAATTTGTCGACTTTACTGTTTCAAGTTACGGAATTATGATATGATATACTAAAATAAAAAAAAAAAAACCCAAATTTTGCCCTCTCCCCCCCCCCCCCCCCCCCACAAAAAAAAAATTTATCGTTTATTTGCATTGTAATGTTACATGTTTTCCCTTTTCATTCTAACTCTCAATCTTTTTCTTTTTCTTTTTTCTCTTTCCTGTGTGCAGCTGTTATCTTACCGGTTGTTAAAAAGCAGCATCAGCTTCTTGTAACTTTGCTTCTCTGTAATGCTTGTGCCATGGAGGTAAAACATTTATCTTTTGTTACTAAAATTTGGTAATAGTTGCAATAATAATTTGTTTTTTTAATAAGCAATGGCATTTCCTTGATTTATCCTTATGGTCTTGATTTTTTGTTCTTGCAGGCCCTTCCTATATCCCTTGATAAAATTTTTCACCCCTTTGTTGCAGTGTTGCTATCTGTTACTTTTGTACTGGCTTTTGGAGAGGTATTATATATTGTGTTTTTACTTGCTCGTTTTCAGTGATTTAAGCCTTTTGATGGAATTTATTTATTTTACACCCATTTTGGATCAGATTTTACCACAAGCAATATGTTCAAGATATGGACTCTCTGTTGGTGCAAATTTTGTGTGGCTCGTGAAGATTCTGATGATTATTTGTTATCCGATTGCTTATCCTATTGGAAAGGTAGTATCCCAATTGTAATTTCTTGATTAAAAATTGCGACTTCACTAGTATTTTTTGGACAACAGGGCAGCTTTCCTTTGGTGTTTATGCTATATGTATCAGCTAACAAGCATTCATGCTTGGTTAAATGAAAGCCATGTAGTTCAATAAAGAGAAAGTGTTAGTGGGTTTTTCAGGAGGATTTGCATGGGGCAAAGAAACAGGGTCAAATTTATTGAGTAAATGAGCAATGTGCCTGCTTAAGTCTTGATATTTCTTACCGTTCAAACTGCCCTATTGAGTTGTTTTTGAAATAGCCTTTGGTATATGATATTTCTTGAGATTAAATTTCATTTGAGGTTTTATTCCAAAACTTCTGTTAAGGTTCAGCCACCAGCATGTATAATTTGGCAGTGCTTTATTCTTTTCTGAGGTTGCTCAAATTACATATTGTTTATGAAATGATGGTCCCGCATTCATGGCCATGGCTTTAGGTTCTGGATGCTGTGATTGGCCATGGTGATGCTTTGTTTAGACGGGCTCAGTTAAAAGCCCTTGTCTCTATCCACAGCCAAGAGGTAACTTTTTGAACCAGACAAGACAATATTGCTCAAGCAAGTTAAGTTGTTTTTTGTTTCATTTAAAAGTTAAACTAACTTGTTGTTTCTGTTATAATAGGCTGGCAAGGGCGGTGAACTAACACATGATGAGACAACCATCATTAGTGGTGCACTAGATTTAACTGAAAAGGTAAATGCTATTATTGAAATAATATTCATGAGTCAAAATGGCCTGTCTCTTGTTTTCTTTCCGATTGTATACAGTATTCAGACCTTCATTTTTTAGAAGATGAATATTGTTATCTGACAATACATGATGAACAAATATACTCAGATCGCGATCATCTCTACACACAGTTGACACACATTAAACTTAACCAGTACTAATTATCAAATAGTAAGATACTATTTTGTGAAAAAACTAAGAAATAAATCAGTGTGGAAACTGAATGTATATTGAAAAACTGCTTATTGAGAATTATACAAGAATCTTAGGTTTATATACAACTAACGAGGGGTTAAATTAGGAAACTAAATCTTCCTAAAAAACTAATCCTATAATTGAGGGATTGTCTATCCTAATTTTAGGGATACAAATACTTAATTCTAGAGATACAAATATAAATATATAGATTACAAGATTACAACCAGCTGTAAATAAGTGTTTTCTCACATATTTCAGTATAGTAGAGATCCTGAAGCACACACCTCATGATCTTTTATCTGGACTTTTGCCTGATGGGAAACTACCCTGGAGTATGGCTTTGGCTCTTAACTTTTACTATTTAAATTGTAGATATTGTGCCCAAAATGGTAAGTTTGTCTCTGCAAGGTTGTAATTGCCTTCTAAGGGCTGTACAGCTGCTTCCTCTCTCTCTCTCTCTCTCTCTCTATATATATATATATATATATATATATATATATGTCTTCCCTTTTAAATTGCTTTTCCATTTTAAATTACATATCTTTTTTGTTGTTGTTGTTTCAAATTAGTTTTCATCTGTTCCAAGATCTATCAATTTCACTTCCAATTTTCGACTTTGAGATAGCTCAGAAGCTGATAAGAGCTAATTGCTTTGTCTTTTATAAAATGGTCACAATCCTGACTTTTTTAGAACATGCAGACTGCCGAGGAGGCTATGACACCAATTGAATCAACATTTTCCTTGGATGTCAATTCAAAATTGGATTGGTGAGTTTCAACTGGATGGCCTTCTTTTTTTGTTACCACATCATTTTTCCTTCTTTATCTTGCAGTTAAAACAAGTTAAAAGTAACAGAAGCTCCCACTGTTCACATTCCTGGTTCTGGAAAGCCTAAAAATATCTTAGACCTATTCTTTATTTTTGAGGAAAGTGTTGAATATAATTTATCTCTTATAATGATTGAATACAACTATGTCTGTCTCAGGTTTTTTGAGGTTTTACATGGGAAAATGAATTTTTGGATGAGTGATGGATCTTGTAATAGGTGGGGAAATTAGCTAGTTGGATCTAGAACTTGTAATGTCACACTGATAGGCATAGCTTAAGACCCTATTCTAATGTGGAAAATACTTTCTTTTTTTTTTCATTCTTTCATACAATTCATGCTGCTTCTTTTAGCAAGGTACTATAGGAAACATGATTGACTTTAAAGATTATCCCCTGTTAAAGTGGTAAGTTCTAGTAAATAAGATGACCCTTACCATCAAAGGTGGTTTATATATGAAGTGCTTCCTTCACTATTACTATATAGAAGTTAGGTAATAAGTGGATTTATCTGCCTTTTGATTCAGGGAAGCAGTTGGTAAAATTCTTGCACGTGGTCATAGTCGTATCCCTGTCTATGCTGGGAATCCGAAAAACATCATTGGGCTGTTGCTGGTGTGTTTAATAACCGATTAGCTTTCTTATGGGTTTTGTGAGTTTCTTGATAAAGGTTGCCAGTTCAATGTGCAATTATTTCCCTTCTTAAATTCCTATGAATTCTCCTTTGTTTTGAGATTTAGGTGAAAAGTCTTCTCACTATACGGGCAGAGGCAGAGACTCCAGTCAGTGCTGTTTCCATCCGGAGAATTCCTAGGTATACATATGTTTTCCCCTTTGCTTTTTTATGTTTCTCTCTATATATGCAAAAGTATGAATTCTCATACACAGACATCTCAGGGTTCCAGCTCATATGCCTTTGTATGATATCCTCAATGAATTTCAAAAGGGAAGCAGTCATATGGCAGCTGTAATGAAGGTTAAAGGAAAGACCAAACACCTTCAGTTCTTTGATGAGGGAGAGAAATTTGACGAGCATAGAGTTACCAATGGGAATTCTCAACTAACCACCCCTTTGCTGACCACATATGTCACTGAATCAGATAGTGCTCTTGTCAATGTTGAGAAATCTTTAAGGCCTATCACTGTCATGAAAAATCCTCAACCAAATGGTGTTGCAACAAATACCTTGCAACACTTTTCAGAGGATACCGAAGATGGGGAAGTCATTGGTATCATAACTCTAGAAGATGTTTTTGAAGAACTTCTCCAAGTAAGTGCTGTTTCCGTCACTTTCATCTCTCTGCCACTTTTTCTAACCTTTGGTTCAGCCATGCCCCAGACTTGTGGATTTTCCATCCGAAATAAATTCTTCTGTCACCTTGTCTTAATATTCTATCTTCAATTTATTAAGATCAATGGTTTGGCAATTAATTTTGTGAAAATGTGTTTTATCATGGAATTTCCATAGTGTTTCTCTTTAAATGCGTATGCAATTTGGATATATGGTACTTGCTGATCCCATTTTGCATTGTAGGAGGAAATTGTAGACGAGACTGATGTATATGTTGATGTACATAAAAGGTACAATACAATTTGGGTTTCATAGCTTTTTACTCACTTTTGCTCTTTCAGCTTCGCTTATAGCTTCATATAATCTCTTTTTCTTTTCTATTTTTTCAAGGATACGAGTGGTCGCTGCTGCAGCTGCTTCATCTGTGGCACGGGCTCCATCCAGTCGTAGATTGATTGGCCAAAAGCCTCCAGTAAGTACACAATTTTTATTATTTTATGTTTCTCTTGCTTGCATTATTAGATCATTAGGGAAGTAACAAACTAAAGCCAGCATACTGTGGTGATATGTAACCTAGGAGATAATATTAAATTATGTCCATGATTAAATAGGGTAGAGAAAGAAAACTTTTGGGCATTCCCCATTAGTGCAATCTCTCCAAACCTCTATATTGGAAATGCATGTCTGGAGATATCCCCTTTGAGTTTTTTGTGTTCGCATATGTTGGTCTCTCTGATGGGAAAGAGATTGACTAAATACTTTGCCCTATCAGAGATATTGCCAGATGTGACTAATAATTTGAAATAGCATGTCTAAGCTTCCAGACTTTTTACCCATAGAATGCTTCACAAGTATCATCACCCACACTCTGATAACAGCTGTAAGCTGATGAGAGATTCCCATTAATCATCAATTTACTTACTGATATCCTTCAGGGTGTTCAAAGTAAGCAAGGGCAAATGACTAAGAAATCTGTGGATGATGGTTCACAAACAGGGAGATCTGTTGTTAGCCCAGGGGAATCTCTTCCAGGCAGTATCTAAAGATCTTAGTTGGACAAAGAAGAATAGAAATCATGTGTTTTTCTTCCTTGCCATCTATTGTAAATTCTCAAATCAGGTTGTGTATATTGCAGTTTATGCCTGTAGTTCAGAGTGAGAAAACTAGTCATGTTTACTGTAAAAGAAAAATAGGGGAAATTTTGTTTTGTGGTTGTTAGTAATTCCACTAGCAAAATAGCTATCTAGGTATGAATTCTCAATACGGGGTGGCAAGTTTGGTTTTTGGTGAGGATCATTTACTTTCAAATATTTCGATACAGAAACAAAAAAAAAAAAAAAAAAGGTTTTGTTTTGAGCAAGGTGCTCAGACTGATCTCTCTCTTTCATATACACGAGTAGTTTTCAATTTCTACCAATTGTGGCCATCAATTACTAAGACATAATTAGGATAATTTTTCCATGAGCAAATGTTCATTTAAAGATTTGAGAGATAATTTTTTTGTATATAAATATTTGACAAGAACAAGTAACAAGCAACAAGTCTGATAGCTTCTCTACGACATCGATGTTAAGTCATGTACTCGTCACAGCGTTTAACCTATATTTGGAAAAAAAAAATCATTATTTCATTGAAATAACGAGTTTTTTGGAAGGAAAAAGATATTAATTGTTGTAATAAAATTAAAAATGGGACAATTAGTCAAACACAAATTACGTAGTAAAAAAAAAAAAATTACTGTAGTTATTACAAAAGGATTGGAATGGGGTCCAGGGTAAGGAGAGGAAGCTTCCCTAGAAAAATGCAATTGCTTAGACAAAAAAAAAAAGAGAAACAGCCAATCGCGACAACCCAAACATTTAGCGTTTGATTTCCACCATGAAAGCTCAGTCAACGGAGGTCGTTTGCATATAAACTACTATTAGACGAAAACGCCCTCAGATAAAATCCCTAATCACTGTGCTATCCAGTTCCTTAGCTGCGTGGTTCTCCTGGCCTGGGTTCTCTCCCCAGAATATATAACTAACACTAAAAACATACCCGTTCTTCTCTCAACCTCTGTCCGTCTTCTTTTCTCTTTCACTCTCGATTGAAAAAGGTCAGTTTTTTTTTTCTTTTCTTAATTTGATCTTCTCCTTTTCCCGTAAAACGCTATTTTTTTTCTTTTCAACGGTTCAATTCTCTTTTTTTTTTCCTCGATCATATCTTCTTTTTTTTCCTCTGCCGCCAAACGGAGAGTTGTTTCCTAATTCGTTTTCCTTCGTTTCATACTAGGATTCCCTTCGATTTTCATTCTCCTTTTTTTGTTATTCTCTTTTCTAAAAAAATCAAATAAGAAATTTCTGTTTTTCTTTTTTAATAAAGGTTGGCTCTTGTTGTCCTTTTAATCACCAAATTGAGCGTTAGGATTTATATTTTCGGTTTATCTGATTCTGTGATACGGTATTTCTTATAAATTGTATTTTGATCCTTTGGTTTTCTTCATTATTAATTGAAAGAAAATTTTGTCTTTTCTTTTTTTTTTTCTTCAATTCCGCTGCAAAAATTAATCTTTTAGGGTTTACGTTTACTTAACATGATTACAATTATGATTCTCATTGTGAATATTTGCTTTATTGTTTATGACGTTGATTATAAATATTGTGTAAATTTTGTTAGTTTATTTGCAGGTTAATAGCTTTCTAGTATGGGGTTTAAAAAGGTTTATCAATGCTTGATTGATATATTCCCGCAGGTATTTCTTTTTATTCATTTTTAATCCCATGCTGTTATTGGGTTTTTTGTTTTTTTTGGTTAAATAAAACTCAAAACGTAGTAATTTAGAAATTTTCAACTATTCTTGTGATCCCTTTATAGTAGTTTCTGAAACATCTGATTAAAGTTCATTGAAAATGTAAGAAACATACAGTGAAAATATTTTTCTTACAACTGCTGCACAGGTTGATCCACGTATTCTAAAAGCTGTTGCTATCGAGAACTCTAAGGATGTGGATGCAGCTGCGGAGATTGTTCTGTCTGAGATTGTGCCTTACCTGTCTAAACAAACCGTGGCTGCTAGTTCTTCCTCACAGAACCTGAGTCCTCAAGTGCAACCAAATGAAGGTAGCATATTTCATGATTTAATGTCAGACTTGTTTTCCTCTGCATTGTGCGTAGGCTGTTTATTTCCATGGATTTGCTTAAATCATGCAAGTATTTGGAAGATTTATTTTTTTTATCTTTGTCTACTCTATATTGTGGATTAGAGGGTAACCGCCATTTTGTCTATGCGTGTCCATGGATTCAAATAGCGGTGCAGTTGCAGTGTAGCGGCCACTATTTTGCGGTAATGCCACCACCCGCCACCGTTATTTGAAAAATATCGGGTGAGAATTTGAATCTCATCGATAACGGAGTGTGGCGCTGCGAAAAAATACTGTAGCGGCAAATAGCTGTCTTAACGGATCGTTATTGCCGCTGCTCCATTTTTTTGTCAAAAAACCAGAATAAAAGAAAAATAGAAAGCCCCCAAAAATACTTGAATTTGACATCAACCTCAATCCAGCCTCAAACAAACTCAAATTTAATCTCAAATCAGTCATCAATCCATTACAACCAGCAGTTCAACACAAGTAATTACCTTTGTAAAAAATATTGCAAATTTTTGTTGAATTTTAATGGGACTGAACTGATCGGTGAAGTTAGCCTCTCCATCTTACATCTTCTACTGAGTGAGGGCTCTGACTCTGATGGTGAGGGATTGGGGCTCAGACACCAGGGTGGGCTATTGGGTGGTGGTGATGAATTTTCTGGGTTGAGAATTAGGATTTGGGATACGGAAGAAAATTAGAGCCTAAGCAGAAGCCAGACGCATGTCGCCATGAGTCCATGACTGAATAACCTAATCGGTAGGGCCATATCTGGTGGGCGGGGGAAGCTTCTATTTTAGATTTTTGGGTTGAGTTTGAGAGTTGAGAGAGTGCAGGACATTGAGAAATAATGAAAAGTAAGAGGTTGAGATGAATGAGAGTGTGAGAATGAGACTAAAGAAAATAAAAAGGAAAAGATGCCGAGAGAGAAGAGTGAGTAGAGGGGAATAAAACGAAAATTTTAGTTCTGGGGTAGGGACCATGGGTTTTGTTCATGTGATTTTTTTTTTTTTTGGGAAACTTTTGTTTATAGGAAATTTTAGAGGTTAAATTTTATGGTAGGAAAGTTTTAAATTAAATAAACTTAGGAATTACTATGAGATAGATAGAGAAATTTTGGAGAAATTAGATAAAAATTGAGGTGATAAATTTTTTGTATAACTTAAATGAAAATTAATTAAAGTTAAATGATTATATATTGAATTATTATTTATTATTTTATATTTGAATTTTATTAATGATATTTTGTTTTGGTATTTGTATTTTTAATTTTTTGAGTAATAGATTAATTTTTTTTATTATTATTTTTGTGTACTTAACTAAAAATTGAAAGTTTGATCCCTTGTATAATAATTTAAAAGTAATTTATGATAACAATTTTCAATTAATTAATGTGTAAAAAATTAAAATACTTAATAAAATATTGCATTTCAAAATCATAAAATAATAAATATTTAATAGATTATTACATTTAAAAATCAAGTGAATAAAAGATATGTGATATCATAAACTATTTTAAAAATAATAAAATAAGAGTTTTTATAATTATAATTACAATATTTTATAATATGTTTTGTGAAAATAAAAAAAATTCATGACTGAGGTAACTGTGATGACCGCAATAGCTTCCGTTATGCCTGTAATCGCAATAAACGTGACGTGACCGAAAATGCGACCGCAACCGCAATTTAAATCCCTGTGCGTGTCTATAGGTTACATATTGGGGTTTATTCATTGATTTATTGACCTGTTTAATGTCATAAATCGCTTGTTGAATTTGCAGTTGTAGATGAGGAAGGAAGCAATCAATTTATGTGGGAAAAGGAAGTGTTGGTGAAAAGCGCATGCTTTTCTACAGAACCATTATTGGAACCAAATGAAGTTGTCAGAGACAATCGTCTTACAGGTGCTGCCACCAATGTGGATTCTCTTGAGGCACCATATGCAGTGACTACTTCAAAATTCCACGAGAACAAAATTGAGGCTGCTGATATTGAAACTGAGGAATTGATTTTGTTGGGGAACACAGAAAAAAGTGCTGAAATTGGGGAAGATAAATCTAGTGTCAGCTTGAATGCCTTAGGGATAGAGAATTCTCTGCTATATGCAAATCTTGAAATTAAGGAGTCTGGTTCATCAAGTAAAGACCTAGCCATAGACATCGAAGATGGCTTTGTAAGGACTCCCCATGTTTCACCAGTCACCCCAGCTCATGATTCTACCTCACTTCCAGAGAATACTGATAGTAGTGGCAGCTCTAATGATTATTTAATAGATTTTGATGGGCCTGTGGATTTGAAATCAGATTTATGCAGAAACAGTTCATTAAATGGAACTATGGTAGGTGAAGAAAATGCTGCGGTTCTGCTGGTTCCATCATCTTCTCAAGAACAAATGCCGGAAGAACTTAGAGCTGGTATTCATTCTGAAAGTGGTTCTATGATTCACTCTACTGATTCTGAGAAACAAGAAAGAGGTTCTGTAGAACTGAAGTGCCAGCAGGATTCCATTAGTGAAATGGGTGGTATTGAGGATGATACCTTCAATGCTGTTGTTAGTAGGTCTAGTCAAACATGCAGAATTGATCTACTTGAAGAGATCATTGACGATGCTAAAGATAACAAGGTACCCTTTGCTCCAAACCTTTTACTTTTGTAAATTTTGGAGGCTATTTGGGTATGAGAAAGAATCCTATGCAATGCTAACAATACTAATACTTCATCTGTTGTGTTAGTCAATTCTGGTATGATGATAAACTTCATCTGTTGTGTTATTCAATTGTGGCATGATGATAAACCTATCCTGAGTTTCTGATGTTATTGCTTATATAAGAGTCTTTTTAATATGAAAAGTTAGTTCTTTATTTCTTTTCTTTTTTTTTTTTTTTTATGGTTCTATTTTGGGAGGGCAGACTCTTAACTTATCATGTTTTGGTGCAGAAAACATTGTTTCAGGCTATGCAGTCAATTATGAACTTGATGAGAGAAGTTGAACTTCAAGAGGAAGCTGCAGAGCAAGCAAAAGAGGAAGCTGCCAGGGGAGGTTTAGATATTCTGGTCAAGGTGGAGGAACTTAAGCAGATGCTGACACATGCAAAGGAAGCAAATGACATGGTTGTGCAATTGTTAATAACCACATTTTTAAATTACTGATAATACAACGTAGTTCTATGATTCTTTAAGAGTATGAAAGCTCAGCTATTGGCATTTCTTTGCAGCATGCTGGAGAAGTATATGGAGAGAAGGCAATCCTAGCCACTGAAGTGAGGGAGCTTCAAAGTCGCTTGCTCAGCTTGTCTGAGGAAAGAGATAAATCTCTTGCTATTCTTGATGAGGTATTTTTGGAGCAAATTAAATTGTCATCTAGTAGATATTTAGTAGAAAATCTTGTCTTGATATTTTTTTTGCTCTGGTATGGTTTATTTGTCTATCTATTTATATGTAAGTCGTAAATTGTCTTGATCTTGGTTGATCAATATGTTTATCCATGTCTTGGGGCATATTGAGGAGTTGAAAATTTTTACAAATACACATTCATATCATCTTGTGCAATAAACCAATGTTTGGTTGAGTTTCATAAGCATGAGATAAATCGGCCATTTCTTGAAACAGATTCATCACTGAATAAGTTGTTTAGAGATTTGCACTAGATAATCCTTGGAATTTTATGGTGTATTTATCTACAGATGCGCCAAACCCTCGAAGCTCGACAAGCTGCTGCAGAGGAGTTGATGAAAACAGCAGAGCGGGAAAAGCTGGAAAAAGAAGAATCTGCTGGTAATGCTCTTACTGAACAAGAAGCTATTATGGTGAAGGTGGTCCAAGAGTCCAAGATTCTATGGCAGGAGGCAGAAGAAAATTCCAAGGTAGCTTTCATTTCTGTGCACTCTGTAGTCTTAACAAAAGTTTAAAATAGATTACTTGTTTGGACTTACCATATCCTATTTTTTGCTGTACTGCAGTTACGCGAGTTTCTTATGGACCGTGGTCGGATTGTTGACTCATTACAGTAAGTTTTATTGCCCAATTATTTATCTTTATCAATTTGCATCAAATATTTTATCATATTCAAGTCTGATTTATGAGTTTGGTGGAAAATTGTTAACTGATAGAAGTGGTATTGCTTGTTCCAGTTAAGTTGATACGTTCTTGTTAGTAACAAGAATGTAGATTAGTGATGGGAAAAATATATGAATCACCATATATATGAGGGTTTGCCTCTGGTATTCAGGATCAATCAGCACCAAGGATATTCAACTCCATGGATACCGATACATGCATAATATTATTATTTGTGGATATATTTCAAACTATGTTCTGACAAACTTAAGTGCATTAATTTGTGAAATCTGATTTGCTGTTTGCAAGAGGAACCAAGTAGCAATGGAGGAATGGTAACATTTTACTTTTCATCCTTTTTGCAGGGGAGAAATATCTGTTATTTGTGAGGATGTGAGATTGCTTAAAGAGAAGTTTGATGAGCGTATCCCATTAAGCAAATCTATATCCTCAAGCCAAACCAGCTGCATCCTGGCCTCCTCCGGCTCATCACTGAAAAGCATGGCATCTGATCTTGGTCCCAAGCAGGGGGAGATAGCTAAAACTCTAGAGAAGAGAAGCCCAACGCCATCTGTTGATGCGCAATCACCAAAAAGTATATCATTGGAAGAAAGATACGAAGATGATGGCAAGGAGCTATTGGATAACGGGTGGGAAATTTTGGACGGAGATGCTGAATTAGATGCATAAAAGGGTCCCCTCCAGTTATAAATGGCTTTTACACGTCTGCAGTTTTATTTTAATAACCATTTTCTAAGTACTAGGATCCGTGATTTAATCTCTAGTTGAGTGACTTGGTATTTTCATGAGCATATAGGCATTTTCTTTTGAACATCATGTATCTATTTTTGTGGCAAAATACCATCACGCAACTTTTGTACAGCATTAAGCATTGAATAAGTGACTGCGTCTATGCAGCTGCTCTATGTTCTGTCTATATATTTAGTCGCCTTCTTATTGAACGCTGAAGCTCGTGACTCTTTAATGTTATTATTAATTTTAGCTACTAGCAAACTTGTGTTAGTGCTGGCAGTTATTGGCTCGGATTTACCATGATTCTGCTTCTGGCTGTATAAATACTGTATTAAAATAAAAGCTGGATCATTTTACCGGACTAATACGATGGAAAGGGGAAAAAAATACTTTTAATAGTATTTCGATTCCCTTTTGTATATGAGTTCCTGTCAAGGAATGAACAAGAGATGTTGGTTCAACATTTTGCTGGATCAAAAAATCAAAAGATTAGAATGGAAGCATTTGACTGTGGATCAGGGAAATGAAGGTCTGATAGGTTGGGTTTTAATTGAACCAAAGCAAACCAATTTTGGGTGGAGCGAAAAAAGCTTAGACTTTTTGTGATGAAAATTTGGGGCAATTTTGGTGAAAGCAAATTAACTTAAAGAAACATCGTGGCGACAATTACTCGTGGAAAGATCAACCTTTGGAGCTCTGGCTTTCTAGGCTTTGGAGTGGCTCACAAAAAGAAGATTTTAGGAGCAAAAGAACAAGTATACCATTTACAAAATTGAACGAACATGTTTATTTATCAGTTTTTTCTTCTGTACTTACACGTTAAATTTTTAGGCAATGTTCATCAACCAGACAATCCCGTCTTGATCTAATTTCTCTACCTCCTTAAAAAAAAAAAGGCCTAAAAAAAAATTCTCCACCTCCTTATTGAAGTGTGATATCTGTTTCGAAACTGTACACCCACAGCTCTCAAGCGTCCAAATCTTGCAGTGTATTAAGAATTGGTGATTCCAAAATTGAATTGGAGTGGATCCAACCCCCAAACCCCAAGGCTAGTCATGCCAACACAGGAGCAACACAGTACATCTCCATATAATATAAAGCCTTGCCCTCTGTTCCCTAATTTGCTTTGAACACCTTTGCCATGATCGACCCTTCATACTCCTCACTGAAAATGAGCTTTCTGCCATATCAACGCGGATAACAAAACAGTTTGGGAAGCAGAACTGAATTAAAAGAGTGGAAGAAGCACCTGAAAACTTCTTCTTTGGTAATATGTGCATGTAGTCTGAGTTTTGTTTTGGAGATTGAAAGGCTGTGGAAGATTTTGAAGCTCTTTTATAGGAAGGAAAGCAGTTGAAGATACGAGTGAAGCAAATATGTGGAGGCTGACAAATGTTGGCCCCTGGTTGGGTCACTGGCATTAGGACCCACTGGTTTAAGTAAGAAGACAGAGCAGAGCTACCCAGCATGTCTGCTCGCCAAACTATATTGATAAGGACTTGTCATCAACTTCTCCCTCTGGAGGTCATCTCTGTCTCGCATGCATCATCCTATTCATGCTTCATTCATGCACTTGTCAATCATAACACTGTGCCACCAAGTTCAAAGTTTGTAGTTGTTTACTTGTTTATTTATTCAAGCCAAATTTTTGACAGATAAATTCTTAGAGATTTCTGGGTTTTTTATTTATTTTATTTTGCCATTGTTTCTTGGTTTTTTTAGGAGATTTGGAAAGAAGTTGGAACTTCAAATTTATTCACTCTCCTTTTAAAGGATTGTTATTGTCAATAAAAAGTTAAGATCTTTTTTTATTTATTTATTTAAATAGAAAATTTAACTCTTATTCTTCAAATGCATTAATAATTAAATCGAATATTTAAATATAATTAAAAAATTTATATTTGTTACATATCTTGCATATATACATATTATATTGTCATTGAATCATATAATAATATATTATAAAAATTAATTTTTTAATAAAATATTATTATATAATTTTATTGACAATATGTAACATTATACACATTACATGTACAGCAAATATAAATTCATAATTAAATTATATTTATATTAATTAAAAAATTGCCTAATAACTAGATAAGAGAAATGGAATTACCGCTTAATTCAAACCATTTTTCATTGCCACGACGTCATAATTATTAATTAAAATGGTGGGACAAAAAATCAGAACCAAATAAAATATAAGGGCATCAATCATTGTTGGTTATTAAAGTAATGATTTTGGGTTTTCAGCGTGAGCTACTAACAGCCGCTTTAAACACGATTCAAAGGTCATATGACTAAAAGCATATACAAACATACATAAATATATATATATATATATATATAAAGTGTATTTGTAGGCCACAAAACTGGAGACAAAATCAGCACCAATGAAGGAATATTGAAAGCAAGGTGTAACTAAACACCTTTTTAATAATATACCTAAAGGATAACATATTTCATGCCACTACTTGATGAGCTGCTTGATGAGGACATGAGGGAACTACTCCAATTACCAACCATCTAATTCAGCAGCACACTTTTATTTGTTATAATTCAAAAAATGGTACTACTCCTTATTTGTTATATTTGTTATCAATTTTTTTTTTTTGATTGGTGCAGCATCTATTGTAATTTGATTTTAAGTTTGATGCAGTATTAGAGTCTGAGTTTGTTTTGTTTTGTTGCCTGTTTTTCTTCTGCTAAATCTGTTAAAGAGTGTTATTTCACGTCTGCTACTCTTTTAATCCGTCGTATGTTAAATTTTGACATTTACATGGGATTATATGTAGTACCTAAAAATTGATCACTTGGCCAACTATACTCCTCTGCTACTCTCCGTTGTCACGTGTGGTTCCGTGTCGTTAGTAAGGCCTACCAATACACTGTCCTATTCAATCCGACATGCCGGCCACCTATCATTGCCGGCCATGACAGACCAGTTTAAAGTCAGTTTTACATGCGCCTCAAGTTCATAAGCTGCTGTCCTACTTATCCTCATGTCGGGCACAAAGCCTCAACTCCTCACTTTCAGTCTCAGCAACAACTTCACAATCCCTCTTATGTTACCCATATGGTGAACATATCGGGTCCGATTAGGCCACAGTTTTCATTCTAGCGGGCTGAACCATGCCACGTTTGTGCTTAGAATCGTCGTCTTCCAAAGGAAGATGATTGATTTTTCCATAAGCTGGTCCAGCTCACGTGAGAAACTGTCCCATTGTTATTGATAAAGATTTGCAAGGAAAAAAAAAAAGTCTTTCATTAAATCCGATTTGAGGAGAAAAGCAAAACAGACAAATCAGGAATCGTGACAAATATGCAACTAAGTGATTGCTCAATTCGATTGGGATTCAAGCTGTGCCTAAGGTGATGATGATGATAAGTAAACGCACACGAGAAAGCAAAAATGAAGTGGGGTGTTAATTTATTGTCAAGAAAATCGTTGAAAGTATGAGAATGATGCTGCAAACTTGAATACAATTCTATGAAAAAAAAATCCAAGTTGTCGGGAAGATGGAGATTCATAGGAACAGTAAGTCGGACAAAAAATCAATGCAAATTGCAAATAAAATACCTCACTATATAGTACACGAGTGGCAAACAGAGAGGAGTCCATGTTTCCTAATGTCAGCTATATCCATCCAAAAGGTTTTCATTGTAGCCAACAAATTCGTCCCCTCGAAAGTTGCAAGATGTATCCATGGTGAACTCTGCAAATTGTAAAGGATTCGACTTGATTATAAGCTTAAAAAATTAGTAGCATAGGAATCAGGAAATAGCCAGATGGTTACTTCAGATAATTTATCTAACTTTAAAGTAGTTCGTAGCATGGAGTTGGGTGTTGCTGTTGAAGAAAAAAGGAGTCAATGATATACTGCACAAGTTATATGATCCCTCGGCCCCAAAGCGACATGGTCCATCAGAATCAGCAAATGTTATTACAAGAAGCATTTTCATCATATACAAAAACCAAATGTAATCAACCAAAATAGTAGTATAGAGTATAATGGGCATGGCTAACACTTTCATCTCTACATTTTTTCCAATTTTCTTGTCCCCTCCAACTCATATCTTTCACGCATCCAGTCCCAACTCTTTCCTGATGTCAGCCTGTGCCAAGAAGCAAAGCAGCACAGCAAGGATGAGTATACTTCTAATTTCAAAATAACATTGAAATTAATGTCTTATGCATAATTAAATAGCAAATGCACCAGGAAGGAGGAAGAACCTCTATGGCCAATGGCGAAATGATTGGGCTATAGCGACCAAGGGGCAGGCCATCCTTATCAACTAAAAACTTTGTGAAGTTCCACTTTATCCTAGTTCCCATGAAACCACTTTTGTTTGATTTTAAAAATTTGTAGACAGGTTCTGTATTTGGTCCATTGACACAAACCTAAATATAAAAGAAAATTTAGCAGCAAAGAGTAATCAGTTCTGGTAGATTGCAAAGTCCAGAAGATTGTCTGTGTATTGAAGACGCAATATGCATGATGAACAGTCAAGCTCGCAGAAATAAGAGCTTCAATCCCACTTATAAATAATCGAGGCAACATGACAACTATCAGAACCACTTAATCCATTGTCTAGTGCATTCCCAAAAGGTCAAAAAGTCAAAAAGTAAGAGATAAGGGCCCAGAAAACCTTCATGCATTCTTCAAAACGGGTATATGAGTTAGTCATATATATTCAAGTACATATGAGTATAAAATCTTCTCCATCATTCTTCAGAAATGAGTGAGGTGATCAAGGAAACCTAGATGTGAAGCTTAGGTTATCTTTTCTTTATTCAATTTTCCTACTTCCTTAAGAAATTCAGATTATAATTTAACCTAAAACCCTAGCTCCCTAGGCTCCTCTGCATCAGATCAGATGGTGTAACTGAAATTCATCTTGGATACCAGCCTCCGGTTTAATTCAAACACCTTATTCTTGGCTTTGCAAATAAAATAAGGTCAAACTCCAAAAAGTATCACATCGGTTACCTCAAGATAATAATATTAGAAATTTTGAATAGTTTCTATTCTATATAATGTTAGTTATCATATGTACCAATACCCACCCAAAGAGGAAACACCGGATCAGCCACTGCCAGACTCATGCCTTTTCTGTACCGAGGGCATTGTGAATTTGTCTATATGTCACTAATAAGCCATTTAAGAAATCACATCTGACCCTCCAAAAGAACATTTTCTATCAAATGCAAGACCACAAGCCAATCATAAAATCAACGTTAAAGCACAACTCAAGCAAATATCATCTCCCATTTCTTAGAGCCAGAAGATAATTGGGCTTTAAGAACAGTTTTTCTAGGAAGAAAAACAACAGTTTCCTTTTAATTGTCCAGCATTAACTATCTTTTGTGAGTCTATATGTTACTAACAAGCAACTTAAGACATCACATCTGACTTGGATAAAGAACATAACTATCAAATGCACGACCACAAACCAAACAATAATCAATGTTAAACCACAAGTCAAGGAAATATAGAAGCTCTGTTTCTTACAGTCAAAAGATAATTGGGCTTTACTAATAGTTTTTCTTGGACGAAAAGCAATAGTTTCTATTTAATAGTCCAGCATCAACTATATTTTACAATCAAACAGAAAAACAGTTAGATGTAGGTCTAAGACTCCAAGCACCTATTTGAACTTGGCAAGACATGCTTTCTCAGCTAAATAAGTGGGTTGTCCAAAATTGAACACAGTCTAGAAAGAACCATAAGAAAATGTAGCTTGTATTGTGAACATAGAAAACATACAGTCAATGAATTTCTTTTAAAAATACAGTTCTGAATGAGCTTTTTCCTCCATTCCGGACAACAACAACCACCGCATGTAAAGCACATTCATAAGGAGCTTCAATATTTACCTAAAAATTTCAAATAAATACATGTTTTTTTGGGACAAAAGTTGTTAGATTGTCAAAACTGATAATATCTAGGCAATGTTTTAACTACTATTCAATTTTAAGTAGAGATTTTAGAAGCTGTGAACATATTATAAGACCTCTATTCTTCCACCAACTAAAATTGTCAGGAGTTAAAAAGGAAACAGAGTTTATTTTAAAGGTACTCTACATGGTGGCAAATGACTAAGGCAGGGTAAGAGAGAACCTCAGAGTTCTATCTTCTTAAGGTAGCATTCCAGCATAGGTTGTGTTAAATTAATTTAAGAAAAGCAAAAAAAAATCAACAAATGCAACCACAATTAACCCAATAAATGGTCATATATTCAACTAACTGAAAGCAACATCTCACATTTCCATCAGCAGAACAGATACTACTTCCAATAAAAGAGATCCATTATCCAATTCTAAATATATTTCATTACCTTTTGGAAAATAGGATATTCAGCCTTGTATCTTGTACAAGCAAATTGTTGTACCTCTTGGCTGGAGCCAGGTTCTTGCTTCAAGAACTGATTGCATGGAAATGCCAAGATCTCTAGTCCTTGAGTCAGAAAATAAAAGCATCTTCAAGTCTAAACATAAATCCATGGGAGAAAACTGTAAATAAAACTACAATTCATCCCCCTTTTTTGTTTGACAAAATTGCCTAAACTGATGATTGCAAAACCAAAATATCATATCATCACGGAAAAAGGTTGTGTAAAGTGCTATGAAAAAAGAATAAAGCCACCTTGGAAAAGAAAAAGAAGTGCAGAGTCACACTGAAAGCCTTTGAGTTTTAAGGGACCTTTGAAATCCAGAAACGAATTTAAGAGAATTTTTTATATAAAGAAAAGAATTAACCTTGGTGCTTGTATCTGTTGTAAAGATCAGTCAACTGGGTGTAATTCCAATTAGTAAACCCACTGTTCAAAATCACAAAGGCGCATAATTTAGAAACAAAATCATGAAAAAAAATAGAAAGAAAAATAGAAAGAGAGAAAAGAACCATTTGGAGGCAACATTATCGATAAGGAGAACTTTTCCTTTGTATATGCTAAGGTCCACGTCCTGACCACTGCCATCCTACAAAACAAACAACAGAGTAAAATCTTAAAGAAGAAACAAATAAATCTTGGAAATCATTCAGTTAATCCGTAATGGTAGAAGAAGAAAAAGCAAGAACCTTGACAGTAAAATCATGGATTGATTTCTGAGGGACTGATCCAGAAGCCCCCATTTTGGTTTCCTGGGTTGGATTCAAACTTTGGGAATTTTGGATATGTCTACAACACAAATTGAAGGAAGAGATCTCGGCTTATCTTATCAGCTGGGTATGTAATTGTAATTTGCAGAGTAAAGAAGCTTATGCTATAATAAAGACATTGATGCGATGAGCAACGATGATACAATTTATTGAGCTTAACAAGGAAATTTTGTAGTCCAAAGTAATCTTTTTGACTTCTCTCAAGGTTGGCAATTATAAGCGAATCCAATCCAATCTTAAAACTAAAACGCTCTTTCAAAGTTTGTTTTTCTCCTTGAAACCTTGATGAAAACTTAACAAATTCGGGGAAAAGGCCGAGAAAGGGAAAAAAAAAATGTCAAACATAGTTGGTGGATGGATGCTTTTACTCAAAGCCGAACAAAAAGAAATGAAATTTTGATTGAAAAAATACAAATGGTAAATCAGGCTGTTAGTCAGACACAGTCAGAGAAGTGGTTTGTTGCCCGCAAGAGTGGCAGCAAACAATAATCAAAGTGCAGAACTATCTATCAAATAAATTGAAGGGCGAAAACAAACACTGTTTAAAAATTTTGTCCACGACTCCGTCAAATCTCATTTTTTATTTTTACAAAACACCAAATCTTGATTTATCCTCCAAATTATAAAACGATCCATACCATAAAACATTTTCATTTTTAAAAGATATGAAACCATTCGAGATTTCAAACATCTTTGAGGCAGCACAACAGATCTGAAAACATATCAAGGCAGATAATTTTCAAAGTTTGTGCTCGTGATGGGAAAATTCGTGTATATGTGTACAAATATTTGAGACAATAAAAATGAAGAAACTAGATTACATTTGGTTCATTCTGATCCACTGAGGTTCTGCCACGGTACTAACAAAATAGCAAAGACTGTTTACAGTCAAAATGGGGTGGTAAAAAGAACTAGCTAAGGGAGGGTGCCAAGCAAAAAAGTTTCTAGGGAATGGCCCAATAAAAATTTTTGCTAAAGTTCCTATTGGGACGATGATGAAATAAAGACAAACAAACAAATAAATAAATAAAAATTTTGATACAATACAACCTAGAGTTAAGTACAATTCTCTCCCTAATCTCTACAGTAAGGCTCGTCTTACTGTCCTCCCCAGTAAATTGTAGAGGTGCTAGATTACATATTTACAAAATCAGTATCGGCAACGCTGATGGTGCTGATCTTCGCTCCAAATTCATATATGAATTATCTGTTCCTTGCATCCCACACAATATAGGGCCATAAAAAGACTCAACTCTTTTCAACAAGCCGCGAGAAAAGGGGTTTATATCTAACAAGTAAACAACAAGGAATATAATGAGAAAGAAAGAATTTGACAGAATAAGTTATAAATAAAAATAATGACAATAACATACCAATTAAAGCTGCTTGGTAATATTTGGTCATCTTGGCCGCCAAATGCTTGGAGCTGAAACACATAAAAGATACTAAGAACCTACCCTGACAGAAACCTACCTAAATGCAGGGTATCTAGCAAGTATGCAAATGCAAATGGTATCAAAAAGAGCTGTGTCTTTAGCTTTTAGCTTTCAAAGCACAATCTCACAAGAGAAATGCAAACCTCTAGATCCAACAGGAATCACACCTTCTGGAGGTGGTCTGACAGGGAAGGAGTTGCACTGATTCATTGCAGGGGGGTGGAAGCCCCATCCTTGGTTTGGAAACCTTGTTGGCTCACATTGGGGCCCACCATATGAACCGTGACCATATGATGCTTTGGCTTTATCAGCATACTGCGGACCTAATAGGGGTACATAAAATAATATACAACCAGGTGTCATCAGATAAAGTGACAAACAAAGGCATGATATCAGTATACTGTTCCCTAGTATCTTTTGTACAGAATATATATCTTAAAAAGAAACTTACCAGGGAAAGGTGGTGGAGGAAACCTCCAGCTCTCTCTAAGTTCATTTGGGGCCTGTTTCATTCTCTCATGGCTATTATAATAAGTTCCCCCATCCATGTTGAGTGAATAGTATCTGTTGGAGTAGGGAGGAGGTGGGGCATCCCTCATTGAATTCATATGCTGGCCTGGATTAACATATGAGAATTGATTTGATGGTGCAGGATAAGTAGGTCGCGGAGGATAGGCATTGTGATGAAAGTTAGGACCATCAGGTTGTTGCATATTATTCACTGGACGTACAGGGTAACTGTTGAAAGAGGTATTACAATTGGAAACCTGCACAGGGACTGGAAGATCTCGAGATTCAGGCCAATGATAAGGGACTGTATTGGTGCACATTGTTGAATTAATTCTGGGTGCAACTGATGGTGGAACTGTAGATCGCAAATCATCTTCCCTATTCTGCAAATACAATCAAAACAAATAAAAATTTAAATAACATATTTCACTTTTACATAATGATAAGGAAATCAAAGAAGGCAATACAAACAAGTAGGACCTACATGTATATTTGTATGAATTGTTGAATCAACAATGTTTGCATAGGGATCAGAAATGGGACAAGGAGGAGCAATTGGAGGTGGCGGGGGTGGGGGTGGCAGCGCAGGTGGTGGCGGGGACGATGGCAATGGTGGTGATGATGGAGGCACATCTTGAGGTAAAGGAGGGGCAAATGGCAATGGAAAGTGCTGATCACACTGCTCTCGTGAAGTTTGTGCAGTATTGACTCCAGTAGCACCACTGATTAAACTCCTTTCAATCTCAGAGGGAGCAACATCCTCCATTTCAAGTTCACCGTCAACATCTTCCAAAATGTGTCTGCGCTTTTCAGTTGCAGGATTTGCCTCTTGTTTTTCAGGGGTTCCAGAATAGTGTTCAGGTGTGACAGCCTCAAAACTCCCTCCATCAGAATCACTTCCCCCATCCTCATCCTCATCCTTGAGCATTCGGGGCATACAAAATCCAGGAAGCTGAAAACTTGAATTGCTGAGGCAGCAAAAAATATCTTAGAAACACAATCCTAAAATTTTTAAAAGTAATCATAAGTTAAAGTGATCCCAAAATTCAGACCTGCCATACTCATCAACAAGCATACCCTCCATGTCTCTGACAGGATCATCCAACGCTCTCTCAGTTCTAGCTGAACGGCGAGAAAAGGCACCACCAGAAGATGAAACACTAAGTGAATCAAGCTCTCGTATATGTTGGCGAACAACAGATTCTGGAAGGATTCTTCTTTCCAGCCAAACTCTCAAAACCTATATCAAAGAAAGTAAGTGAGAAACCAAAATCCAATAAAAAAAAAAAAGACAGCCAAAGTCACTCACCTTTAAGCACTGCCGACGATTTTCCTGTCCACTAGGCCCAGGGGGAGCTGCAAAATTGAGTATACGAGGCAGTGCAGCTTGAATAGCTGAAGGGTAGATGCCACCAACATCACCTGGATACCATGCTCAATAAAAACATAGCCACATTCATAATCCATAAATCAAACACCTATCATGCTGCTAAATTATATCTTCACCAAGTTATTAGGGAATAAACACAAGTAATACCTTTCAAACCTCGGGAGCACTGAGTAATGGAATCCACAAGAAAGAACAAGTCCACCCGTTTGTGTAAGCTCGACTCACGTTCCAAATTTCGTGCAACAATTTCCACAACCTAGGTTAAAATGAAGAAATCAATGCATTTCAAATAAAATAAGATCTTTTAGGATAAAGATATATTATCTGTCTATATTCTCAGTACACAAACACTCTCTTTCAGTGTGCACTATAATACAATGTAAGTCTTAATAGAAATCCTAAAAGGGTTAATAAACAACTTTTAATGCCAAACAGCCAATGTTTACCTATGTCTTGAATATAAAGTGCTAATACTGACAGAGAAATGCCCTTAATAAGCACTTCAACAATATACCTAAAAAAAGAACATTAACAACTTTACCCCAAAAAATTAACTACATCAACAAGAGAGAAAATATACAAATATCCAGAAACTTTTACAAAACAGAGTACAATAAGAACACAAGTTTAGAAACACCTATCACTGCAACTTTATTTGGATTGCCTTTTACATAATTTTTGGTTTATTTGGATGACCCTTTTTCCCAAACCTAACAATTTTGAAAAGATTCCTAATCCAACAATGATACAAGATTCTCTATCTTTTCAGACTTGAATAAGTTGCCAATGAAATTGACTAATAAAAGTTCATTCAAAATATATGAATAATGAAATTATCAGCTCTTTTCTATCCTTTTTCATTCTTAACTACATATGCATCACTACAATAACCTTGACTTTCCTTCTAAAACCTAAATTCTTCTCTACCAAGGGACAATAAACCCTCTTCTGACGTCTTACAAATCCCTCACCATTTATAATGCCATTAGAATCGAAATACATCCTTGAAACACTGATTTTAGAGTGAGAAAATTTGCAGGCATTGAGATACATTCAATGCAGCCACCATGTTGACATGTCAACCCATAAAACCCGAATTGATTACCAAATTCTTAGTTTTAGTTATTGCTGCAGTTGCAAAGCATAGCACTCTAGTTTTCTTGAGTATAAACTCACCACAAAGTAGAGAATTAATCAAACGTGCCCTGAATTTGAAAGGGGAAGACTGAAGATTGCTATATGAAAGGAGATTTCATATTAGAACAGAAGCAGGAAGAAATCCACCCAAATTTGTTTTAGACGATAACAATAATAATAATTTAGTGCCTATGGATAGAACAGTTGATCTCAACATCACAAAGAATTGACTCAATTTTTGCACATTTGCAGCACTAGAGTAAAATAACTTTTTAAGTAACTGACATGAATAACAACTATAATTCAAGCAAATAAAAATAAATAAATAAAAGCAAAGAAATATACTACCTTAGCAGAGACTCCAAATTTTGCACAATCAATTGCTATGCGCGTTGCACGAGCAATACTCTCCTTTGTCCTTGTTAAGATTGCAAGCATATTTTCAAAGGATGACAGAGCAGCATGCGCTTCGGTGTAATTACTGAACTTACTGACTGATTTTGGTCTTTCACAGGCCACAGAGTCAGTTCTACCTTCATCGTCAGTAATTGAAACACATAAAGATTTGTTGGGACAAGAGTGAATATTTGGACTACAATACCCATTGCTTTGAATATTATTAGCACTCTCTGAGGTAGAAACATGGCAAATTGAGGCATTGGAAGGAGAGACCCTGGCAGGAGAATCTACCCCATCAGCTGAAGATAGACTTAACTGTATACCTGCACCATCCTTGTCTGAGTTGTCATCACAAATCAGACTAGAAGATGTCTTCTTCCCTGGTTCAGGTTGAAACTCTTCCACAACCTCACACCTAGTCAAACAAGAAAGGAAATTCTACAAATTCATAACATATCCACTAAAGACAAAAATGAGAAAAAAAGATTAAGACAACTTCATAAATTCAATTCTTTTATGAGGTTTATGTTTAATATTAGCATCATGACTATCTAATTTGCTTACAATAGCTGTCGTCATATTCCAAAGGGCTAGATTAGGGACCACTTTCATGATTGCAGGTGCAAATTCCACTTTTAAAAGTTGAATTTGCATGGCATATCTTTAAGAACAAATAATTCTCAATATTATTTTACTAAATTCTTAATATTAATTCGCTGAATAGCTGTGTTTAAAACAAGGCAAGTATGCTTACATGCTGTTGACTAAGCAGCTGTCACCAGTTTGAGACTTCAATGACTCACTTTTCTCATGACTGGTATGCTCAGCAGTGCACTGAAACGTATTTGAATCACCCTGAGGTGAAACTTTATCAGTTTTCTCAGTCCCTATAACAGGATCCAAACTCATGCCAGCATGTTCTGAAGTATTAAACTGTTTATCAGGATTTTCAGCCCTAAAATTGCTCAAGCCAACAGGTTCAGCGACAGAATCATCCCCTGAAGGCAACTGCTGATCGGAAGAACCACAATTCACTGTGAAGCTACCTTGGTTTTTATCAGGATTAGGGGACAAATGTTCTAAACTTAGGCCTTTATGAGTATCACAATCAAAATGGTTCAAAGGCTCCACAAAGACATCCTTATGGGATTCATGCTTTTGATTGTTAGGACTCTTGGCAGGTTGACCGCAAATATCTGGTTCCAAAGAAGATTTGGCAAATTTATCCGAAGGTATTGGGTTTGATATGGAAAAGATGCCAGAATCACTATTCACAATCAAATCCATCCCACGTTGCTCCAACCCATTAGCCTCTTTGTCCCCAACAGTTATATGAGAGCAACTTACCATTGGAGAACCATGAGATCGATCATCTGATGTTTTCATGGTTGGCGAATGTTCATCACATGCCTGATCTTCAGCAGCATTAGCTGACATGGCTTCCAATGCACGATGGAGGCGTTTAGATGGAGGCAAGGCAGCTTCGCTGCCTGCCAAACAGCCTAACTGATTTCTCACAGCTTTCCAAGATTCTGGCCTACTTCCTTGATCTTGAGTGTCAACCTTTGAAGGTGATACATTAACCAAAGCTCCCTTCAACGCTAAAGCGTCCCTATCAGTAGAAGGATCATTTCGACAGGTTGATGACGGACTCATCTGCTCCAATGAATTGACTCCACCTTCATTAAAAGGGTTTTCTTCAGTTGGTGAAGAACTAGTGAACTCATCAGCAGCTGACAGTTTGCCCATGCGAACCCTCGCTCTTTTCACCAATGGTAGGTGCTCATCTCCCTCATCTTTGGAATATCTCTCATTTAAATTTTCACATGTATTCCCAAAATTTTGCCTAGTATTATTGATTCCTAAATCCAGATCTGTTTCTCCATCTGTTCTAGCAGGAGGCTCAGCAGAGTCATTATTCACCCGCTTTCTAATCTGTTTCCTTTTCTTCTTAATGACAACAGCCTTTATTTGAAAATCAAGCCCTTTGCTCAGCTCAACATCTCCCTTCAAACACTCAACAACAGGCTCAGAGTGTTCAGGTTTAGAACTAGAATCCATAGTGCTGCCTTCATTCAAACTAACCGCATCAGAATCAACAGTAGCAATTTCCGACCCATTATCATCAGTGCTACCATTCGACATTAACACCGATGAGTCGACATCATCACTCTCAGAAGAATCTGCAGACTTCCTGACTCGTTTATTCCTCCTTAGGGATCCATTCTGGATCAAATTTCCTGATACATCACAGCCAGTCCTAACATCATTAGATGATATCATAAAGTTCTGGAATCTAGAGGATTCCACCCTTGATGAGCTTCTAGCCCTTCGAACTGGTGGTGCCTTCTGCTGTGCAACAGGTTTTTGAGATCGTAAACCTCCAGACTTTTTTCTTGATGAGTATGTTGTTAACATGGTTGTCTCTTTAACCAACATCATATCCGGAGGTTGCTCTGAGACAGATTCTTTTTCACACAGACCATCTATTTTTGGCTCAACTTGAGCAACCTCAGTTGCAAGACCTGGATCATTTCGATTTGTAACAGCATTTGAAGTTCCTAATCGAAACTCTAGTGTTGCCTCACAAGTGTCAGTCAGATCCTTTGATGCAGATGAGTCCACTGAATTCCTACAATTTGCCTGAGTGACTCTATCAGAAGAATTATGATTATTAATCTCATCCTGCTTCTTTGACTTCTCATAACTGTCAATAATTTCCTGGACTGCACGAACAAAATCTGCACCCTTCCCCTGACGTTTGATCAAAAGAGATTGCTTCTTCTCTTCTGTAAATGCTTCAACATCAGCAGGATTACAGAAGGCTCTGCATAACAAGATATCCATATGAGAACTAACAAAATCCAAAATATGCTAAGGAGAAATACGTATGAGGAACAAAAGTATAGAGATAAAGTTACAACAACCAACAAATATAAAATATCCACACAATAAAGACCAACCTGAGAAAAAAAGTCTAAAAAATTTTATATAGTAACTATCATAGTTCCTCTCAAAAATATAGTAGCTTTTATTATATTTCCATTATCTACATACCAACGGCAGCCTGTACACAATTATTTAAATAATGAAATTAGCATACATAATTTCAATGCACAACTAAATTTTCATCATACATACAGGTGCTACACATTAAAAGGAAGCATTTGTCTTCATTCCCCAACCCCTTTCATTTTTTTAATAGGTTTCACCAACTTTCACATCAAAAATTTAAAAAATGCAATATCATTGGGATGAAGAAAGTACAGTTGCAAAAAAGCTGATAAATATATCAATGAACCTCTGAACCCATGTTATCAAATAATTGCATACATTTTTGCCAGTCTTTGTAGATTTCTACGTTTAAGAACTATATCTTACTAAACATCAGCATCATCAAATAACTACATGACTCTTCCTCAATCTAAAAAACATACCAGTAAGGTTTCAAGGTATTTGATACTCTAGAAATTTTTTTCCAGAATGTGAAACTTCTTTTCTAATACATCTTTATTATGTACAAACATATTACAGAAAGAGATATCACAACCACAAACAGAAAAAATTAGGGAGAATGGTAGCATCCCAACTAAGCATACATCATGTCTTCACTTAGAAGCCTCCAAAAAGCCCATTTCAGATTACAGTAGCTCTACCCTTTGAAAGACCACGTATAGGTTCTCTAAATGAAAACTAAAAACTTATTATCAGGTTAAATATTATATTATAAAGTGGAAGAACCAAAGACAACCCAAATACAGTATAAGCCGACCATTTGGCAACGAAGAAAAGGAGATCAGTCTACAATCAGAAAAGATGACTCACGTAACCAGCAGAATATTGAGGTCTTAATAAGATAAAGTTTTAGTATCACCTAATGTAGAGTACAAAAGCTTTAACAACACAATCTGTGACTTAATATTACAATAATTCACAGTAACGAACTAAATTCATATAGTTTTAAAATTTTTATAATAATAAAATATGCAAACTTCACATACACATACAGAAATGCTTCAGCAAGGAGTATTTGACATTATTAGAACGAAATACCACCACCTTCTAAAAGACAATAGGCAAACAAAAGATTTACCAAACAAAGACCAACATGGCTCAATATAATAGAAAACAGAAAATGGAAGCTAATACCTACTTTCTTCTTGCATTCATTCCCCACATAAAAGAAAGCACCTATGGAATATTGATTAATGCAAGAGAAAGTAAAGGAAGCAGGTGAAGTAACAGTGAAATGATAGGAAGATATCTTCCCATTCTTGGCTAGACCTACTGAGTTTTATAATCTGAAAGCTGTTTGACCATGGAGTTTTTTTGGAAAGCAACATCACTAATTTTAGATCAATGCACACCACATGTTCTTTCCTACCTTATTTTTCATGTATAGAAACCATAAGATTTACGTTATCTGAATTGACGTTTTACTAGCTCTACTTGAAAGTTTTTTTAGATACATGCTCTTTTTTCTTCACCTCAACAAATTCAACATCCTATAAATTCAAAGTCCAGTTTTGAGAACCTCCTGTACAAATTGTCTCTTAATTGCAAGTATAAAAGAAATAATACAAAAAGATAAACAACTAAAGTTTCTATATCCCCAGCACACCTTCATCCTACATTTGAGCTTGGTTTGCTTTATACTATACCAGTATTCACACTTCCACGAGCTCAGAAGCTATCCAGAATGATTTCAAAATTTGTTATGTAACAATGAGCTGCCATATCCTCACCAGTATACTTTTAAACTTGAAACACCAATGCACTGTCATAAATTATTAGTACTAATGTTTAAAATCATTCTGCAAGCAAAAAGGTATTGTGAAAAACTCTGATTCCACTACAACAAGAAACTAAATTCTACACCTACAATACACTGTAATAGCTGCATGGAATACCTAAACATAACTTTAAACTATTGTTCTATGTTGGAGTTAAATATGCAGAAACCATGCAATATTCTAAACAAGTCAACAATGACCTTGGAGTTCAACAGCACCTAACCCACTACCTTCCTGAATAATTACAATAGAGGATAGTTCAAAGTCTTTTAACATTATCAAAAGATACATTGTATCAAAGTTCAACATGCATCCACCCAACCAAAACCTAGGCAAATTTATCTCCACTAAGTTTATAGCCTATAGAATTCATGATTTAACAAACCTAATAAACAAAGTTATGGGGGAAAAGAAGAGCTTCCACTTGAGACACTTCTTATGATAAAAAGAAAAGAAAAAAAAAGAATTGAGAAGCCAAAAACGTAGATGCTTCCATAGTTGCAAATTTTTATACAATACATCACCAACATTAACTCTAGACATCTACCAATCTTATGATACAAATTAATTAACAAAAGGAGTCCCATTTAAAATGTTTAATTGAGCTTTCAAGCACCCATATCTCTCCATGAACAAGAACATATCATAAACATTCTATTTAAAGATATGTATAATTTAAAATATACCTCATAGTTTTACATATGGACAGTGAAGAAAGGAAATTAATTCATCCATCTCCAAATGATTATGCCTTTCCCTTGGTGACAACAAAATATCACCACCGTTGATATGGGTTAAGTGGTTGGCTTGCTGGGGAAAAAATATTACTAAACAATGGATCCCTCATAATATAACATACAGAAGAAGAAGAAGACAAAATAAAGTAATGATGATGATAATGTGTTGTCAAAATGGTTGAAATAATAATCTTAAGAAGAATAGCCGAAGTGCTCGTAGACATCAAGGACAGTGAAACTATTTTACCAATGATTATGATTGTGAAAAAGGGCTGTTAATATAGTTCAATAAATCATCTAATCATATAATGCCAAATGCTTTTACACATCAAAAACATGGTAAACCCAAATTATCCTATCCATGATGACGATAATAACATATAGATCAATAAATCATCCAAACAAGACTGCCAAAAGATTATATGCAACAAGGATAAAGGCCACCTAAATCATCTTTGCTTGAGAATCAAATTACCTCAACTAACATAAGTCACCAAAAAGTTTTTATAAAATTACCTTAATACCAACAAGAAAGTAGGAGCACAAAAAGCTAAGACCAGAGAATTGCAACTTGGCATGACTGATTAATAAGCTAAAAGAAAAACAAAGGGGGAAAAAGAGAAGAGAACAGAAGAGCAAAAGGATGGATTGAACAAAGTAATAATGAAATGTACACTTACATTTGCTGGGTTCCAAAAAAGTAAACTAAAACTTTCTTCCAATCAGATGAATAGCCCCACTTCTCAGGCTCACTTACCTGCCACAAGAAATTAGAAACATAAGCCTAAGAGGTAATGATTACACAAAAGAATGAACCAAAATAAAAAAAAATAACAATAATAAAGGGGGAAAGGAAGAAATAGAAGATAATAAAAAGCATAAAGAAACAGAATATGTTAATTGGGAGTACTAAGAAATCAAAAGCAAAAAAGTTAGATATGATAAAACATCTTAAAGAACAAAAGATAAGTTCGCATACTCTAAGCAAGTTATAGCAGAATAGAGAAACCAAGGATTCGATTTTGCCCAAAAAAAGGTTTTGCCATTAAAACTAGCCAACAAGATATCCAATTTAATTTTCTGATATATGCATTCAAGTTTCTAAATCAACAAAATCCATCCTCTTTCGCGAAAAGTAAATTCAAAAAATAGTTGAATATTAAATACGCATATCAAAAAGAAACCCCCAAAGAGTTCCTCCGGATTAATGCACCATCAACGAAGAAGCAAACCTTAAATTAAAGAATTAATCATGCCACCTAAATCAACAAAAATAATATCATTAAAACCTCACATGCAACCACAAACCCTAACGCAATAACATATTTTCTAACATAACAGAGACTTTCAATATATAAAAGACAGAAAAAGAAAGACAGTAATAAAGTTTTGGCATACCGTGGCCGGCCAAGCAGGGAAACCTTTGACTTTAGCGAGGACAAGATCACCGACTTTCCATTGGCGACGAGCGGCGGCGGCAGCAGCCGCCTTACTGGCGCCTTTCCTTCGGCTGGGCGCCATCGGAGAATATATTAAACTAATATCCCAAACTCAAGGGCACGCCAAAATCGCCCAAAAGGCGTTACACTCTGGCACTCTCTAGGGTTCCGGTGAGACAATTTGGCACGAGATTTTGAAGGCATTTGAAAGCCCCCCTCGATTCAAAGTGAGTGAGCAGCTCAGTCTGTTAAGAACAAAAGAAACCCTAATTTTTGTGTCAAGAAAGAGTGTTTGTTTTTTCTTTTTCCTTTTTTATTTTTGTGGGAGTGGGGTTTTTTGGTACAAAAAGAGAATCGGGACATGGGGAATATACAAAGATATTGAAATAGCGGCATGGGGGGAGCTAAAGTACGCGGATGGGGTGTAGGTTAAGAGAGTAGGAACGTAGAAGGGGAAAGGGCTAAGATGCGCGGAGCGTAGGTTAAGAGTAAATGGCGGAATCTGGTGGGGGAGGGTTTGAAAAGGCGTATGTAAATCCACGTGATTTACCCAACTGACAGCAGGCAAATCATAATTCAAAATCAAACAAAAATACTTTGGAGTGGACTCTCTCGATTCTTCTCGGTTCTCAGTTCTGACTTAAACCCCCGTAAAACCTGAAAATAAAAATTCATTCTTGTTCTTTTTATGGAGGTCTCAGCCATTGGGTTGGGAACTGGGCCTTTAGTATCAGTCCATGTTTATTTTAGGCCCAAATTTTAAACTTTTTTTTTTAATTCTCTAAGGCTGGTTTGGGTGACCTTTGGGCTTCAATGATTGTGCCATTCCTTCATCCATGTTACAAAATGCAAATGAACAAATTTTGTTCTATTTTTCTTAACTTGGAATAAAGAATTTTAATACAACTTTTTCTTTGAAGCTAAGATGTAACTATTCTTAATGGAGGAATATTGGAATATTTTTGTATTTTATTTCAACTTTGTAATAAAAAATTTGAAAAAAATAATTCCCTTTCAATACGAAATTTATAAACATAAATGTAAAAATAAACAATATCGTAATTAAATAAATATTTATTTAAATCTTCGTTTGAATTAATGGAATCTATATGAAATTAATAATCATTCTCTTCTTTTTCTTTACAAAGCAAGCACAAATCGTCATAATAGATAGTTTTATTTAGATTATGTTAATATCGGTCCAAATTATTGTCATTAGAAGGAGAATAATTCTAGTCAAATTTTAGCTTCACCTACCAAAAGTAAAAATCACTTTTTCCACTATGTTATGGTAAATAGATGGGATTTGCATGTGGCCGTGGTCAATCTCAACCTACACAGTTGAAAAGTTAATATGGACGGCGGAAGAACTCCATGTCTGAAAGTCAATACAATTTAAACGTGTCTGGCCACCGCCATTATGAACTAGTTCGTTGCCTATTGTCCTTTTATCAAATTCAACCTTCTCAGCTCTCAGCATTAATATCTCTAAACGCTAGCTAAACCCTTCCAACTCCCAAAATTTTAAGCAGGAAAAGTACTCTGCAATTGGCAAAGAAAACTAACAATGGTGATCTTGCCAAATCCATGGTCTGTTAAATTGCAGCCAAGTAATAGTAGCCCTTTTTCCATGCCCAGTTTGGTGTCCATTGGCACAGGTAAACATGTATCTCACGTTGCCGTAATCTCAACGCCGAAGACGTCGTACCAAACCATAAGCCTTGATCGGTTCATCAACAACAACCTTGTTCTTCAAGAATCGTCTTCAAGGCGAGGACAGCTTTTTGCGGATAAGACTTTGACAACAACAGATCTCGGAGAGAAAGAAGGTAAAAGTGGGTATTCTAGTAAGATGAAAACCAAGCAAAAAGATCATGAATCATTGGAGACAGAGATTGAAAGTATTATCTGCAGGCTGAAGGCAGCTGTAGAGAGGGTCAGAGAGTTGGAGACACAGAAGTTAATGGGAAGGTTTAAGGGAACAACAATGTCAGATGAAGATAGATTATTGGTGGAGAATACGAGTAGAGAAATCGTAGACACGTTTTTGAAGCGGCCAGTCCAGTATTTAAAAAGCGTTAATGGAGATTTTGAGGAGAAGCTGAAGGACTTGAATTTGCTAATCCGTATGCTTGAAAATTCATGCCTCGATTATCAAAGGTGAAAAAGGCGAAAACCCAGACCCAGAAGTCAACCGAGCCTTGTAATTTCTTATTCTTTTTCTTCATGGATATTTCTGAAACATTTCTCAATCATGAACAATGATTAAGTTCATTCATTCTTTTATATGCAAAAAGCAGTAATAAATTTGGAATTAAATTTCACCCTTTTTTTTTTTTCTCTCTCTCTCTCTATCTTTGGCTATCCAATCATCCAGCGCAAAACGTCGGCATCTCGTCCCCTCGCCTCTTAGCACTAAAGACCTCAGGACTAATCATATTTTGGTGATTTGGATATGAATGATCTGCATTCTAAAGTGAGCTGCGTCAACACGGCCCACCCAAACCAGGATGCATGGACTTGGTGGCCCAGACGTGGCCCAGGTTTGGTTTTGAGCATCCAAATAACGCTAAATTGGACTTGGCATTGGTTGACCCTAACTAACCAGTGCTACTTTGACCATACCGCCAAGAAAAACGACAATGTGAATGAGCCGGGAGCTTAATGAGATGTCCTTTTTTAAATCTCCGAGTACAATTATGTGATGATGGTGGTGCAACAGACATCCTATGATGGTGGTCCATCTTCCATTTTCTAGTTGCCATTTGTCCCGACAAGAAATTCGCATGCCCACTACGTGTCCATTCCACCACCAAGGACAGTCACTTGACTCACTTCGGTCCTTAAAATAATAGTACGCAAAAGGTTTTGAAATGTAATGAATGCCACGTGTCATTGTTGGTTTCTCTGACACGCGTCAGGAAATAAGAGATAGAGATTTTTTACATTGAGTCAGAGCCCGATTGAGAGATGAGCGTCGTGGGTGGTACGCGCACAAACCATATGACCGACAATCCCAGGTCTCGTCTCCATCGTACTGATATAGGGGACTGATTCTGGTTATGGGACTTTCCCTCCTCCTGCCGCAAAACGCGTCTGATTAATTTAATACTCTTTTAACAACTTCTGGTTACGTTTCAAAGTTGAAACTCTCGTTGAACAACGGTCAATGAAAGTAATTGTTAGAAAAAAAAAAAAACTCTTTTTTGGATGAATGTTTGAAAATTCTTCAATGAGATTTTTTTTTTTTAAGATTATATATCGGTACATCCAACCAAATTAATTAATAAAATTAACTCTTATATACGCCAAGTCAACACTCATTTATCACTACGTTAAGAAATCAATATGCAAATTTTTTACCGTTACAAAAACTCACTCATAGAAATATTTATCTATCAAGACCTTTTCAATTATAAACAGAATCATTAAATTACTTTTACCAACATCACATTAATTTAACATTTTATAAAAAGTCTGAATTGATAACAATTTATTTAAAATTATTAAATATAATTATACTAATTCATGCAAATTCTTCTCATATTTTACATAAAATTTTTATCAATTATCACCTATTTTAATTTTATCGCCGCCCAAACATCCCCATCCCTATGCATTCCCCATATAAGGTAAATAAAAAGTTAAATATGTTCACAAATAACCTTCTAAATATTTTACCTCTAAATTTTTATATATTTCCTTTAGTCCTTTCGACTTTTGTATGTTTACATAATTCAAACATTAAAATGCATCTCAAAAATAAAATTATGTGATCACGTAACCGTATTTTCTGATTACAAATCTTAACCGATTCCAAGTCACATTTTAAATCACTAATTAGTCCCAACTCATATTTCAATTCTTCATTCCATAAAAAGCACCATGAACATATATTAATGAGATTTTATTTAATACTTATGTTCTTTGGTAAAAAGGCGAAGTCGTAGGTGTACCACACTTTCTTTCAATTTCTTTTTAGGCACGTGCTTGGTGTTGGTGGAAAGAAGCACTGAAAGTGTTGATAATTTAAAATGAGATTATACAAATTTCTATCACCAATGCCTAATCTAATACTAGTATACGCATTTGTCGATTTGATGTAAAGGTAAAAGATTTTGTTGATTTAATATCCCTTACATTTTAAATGAAGTTGACACGTGGCTCTCAAATTATTTCAACTTGTAACACAAGCAATTGCTCAAGAATTCCTGTCATCCCAGAGACCCATTTTCCTCGTTGCCCAATCCTAAACTATAAAGTAAGGACAAGCATTTAACAATCATATTTTTGTAATTACATTTTTAATTGATTGTATAGATATTTTTCATAATAAAATCATTATATATACTAATTAAAATAAATTTAATGATAAAAATAATATTTTATTTTTTTAGATATTATTATCCAAAATGGACTATTTTATCGTTTTGCCAAAAAATGTAAAAAAGAAAGATAACGAGTCTATTGATGGGCTATAAATGAAGTGGACTCCAATATCCTAAAAAAGGAGCGAAGTGACACACTGATCATTGCATCAAAGCTTATAATTTGTGTTGGTTTCCATACAACAATATCCTAATTCCTAACCAATAACTTTGGTTTACCCTTTCAGCTTCCTACTGAGTCGTCGTCTTCTCCTTCTTGGTCCATACCCCAGAGGCCAGGTCACCATGTGCTCTCACATTAAAACCACTTTTTCAAATACTTCAACAAATGGAAGCAAAACACTTGTTTCCTTGGTATCTTTCCACGTCTCTACTTACCCCCATCGAAACAGGTTGAACCACTTAGATATTTTCAAGCAACGAAAAAGATATTTCGGATTTTGGGATTAGCTCGACACGTGGCGGCTAAGTACCACCTCTCAATCTGGCAGCTGACGTTATTCCTCGATTCTCCGTCACGGCATCTCAGTAATGCTCTGTCACCACGCGTCTTCCTGTTTTTCCAATTGAACCACACCACGTGTCCCGGATCTACAGCAGTAAACCATCCATTTCTCCTACGACACGTGTCCTTCATTTGAGTTTCGGACTCTGGTATTTAGGCGCTTCTAATTACCATGCCATCACAATCCTCCAGTGTTTGTGTTCTCCCCCAAAAAAATGAGTGCCAACCAGAGACGCAGGCCTAATCCACTGAGTTATGATTCCGAGTCGGATGAATCGGGGATACTCAACGAGCGTATCCTCCTCCTCGTCTTTGAGTCCATAAAATGGGATTTACATGTACTTTGCTTCACTGCTTCAGTAAACCACAAGCTTCGAGCTATAGCGAAGCGCTTACTGTGGCGAAACCTCTGCGTGTATCGCGCACCGCGCATGGTAGCAGCATTGGCTAACGGCGCCCCCAATGGAAGAATAGGTGGCGGATGGGACGCTCTTGCAAAGCTCATGTTCTTCTGCTGCGGTTGTGAGTCAACTCGCCATTTCAAGGTGAGTCGCCCTACTCCGGGTCATTTCGCGAGAGCTTCTCGGTTTTCGAAGACTTCGGGTCGGAGCTTCTTGACCAAAAAGTGTCGGGGTGATTTGTTGTTTATAAGTGACCCGTGCGAGCATCCAATGGGGGATAAAGAAGACGATTTGGGGATTTATCGAGGGGTATTTCGAGGATTTATGAGGTCCAAGACGAGAACCTGCTTGATCAGACGACAAGTGGCGTTCGACGAGAGAGTGAGGTGCCCTTATTGTGGGACCCGAGTGTGGAGCATGACGACAGCTCGGCTCGTGCCCAAGAGCGCGGCTAGGCGGCTCGGGTCACCTGACAGAAGGTTAGAGTATTTTGTTTGTGTGAACGGGCACTTGCATGGGACTTGCTGGCTCGTGCCTCTGTCGTCCGATGAAGAAGTTTGCGACGATGGGGAGGAAGAGGACGTCGATGATGATGGGAGTGAAGATCTGGACGGCGATGATGAAATCAACGGGGACGCCTGTAGCCATCAGACGGTGACAAATGGAAGCACGAGCTCTTTAGGGGAAGATGTTTTAGGAGACGGGCCCATCAATTAATTGCTAAATTTGTAAGTGCAGATAAATATCGATATTCATAGGCGTATTTTAAGAAAGACGAGATTCAAGCAGATAGACCGGTGGATCAGGTTGGGTCTCTCTGCTTTCTGTTAAATATGAGGTGTCGAGGAGAGGTGGCTCCCATGGCTGGCCTCAGGTCCCACCTGTTGATAGAAACTGATTTTCTTGGGATTGAGAAATATGACGTGGAGAATAATTTACTTTACCGAGACTAATGCTGACGTGGATATTCATGCCGGAAGATTTTGTTTGAGCTTTGTGCTTTAGGTATAGTATGAACGGCCAATTGAGAGAGGAATCTATTAGTTAGTACTTCATTTTTCAAATTCTTCTTTAAACTTTTTTTTTTTTGTTTTTTTTGCGTTGCCTTGCATTGGAGGGACCATTTTGCTTCTTGTTGGACTTATTTCTTGTAATAATGCCATTGTAGTAGTAATATACTTCTACTAAATCGTTTCATAATTGTCGTCCTTTTTCTCGTCTTCTATTTGTTTTTTAATTCAACGGTGGAATGGAAATTTGAGATTTTTCGGTTGAAGTCATGTTCAGGTCAATATATAGGAAGCCAACCATTTTACATTATGGGTAGAGTTAATAGATAATAAAAAGGGGAGGCGTATGTCACGAATTTAAAGAATAATTTTGAATCTCACGTCAAATATAATAGGAAGATAATTGAGATATAAAAATGTTTACATCATTTTTGTCTTATGAGACGTTTTTTGTAGGATAAAATTATGAGGTTAGAGTGGGTCAGAGTGAATAATATCTCACAATGGTATGAATCGTGATAGGAAGATTGATTCGAAATGTCGGAAGGGTGAATATCTGGGTCTCGAAGTTACGCAGGTTTGGAGTTTAAGTCTCAATCCGTAACAAGTGATATCAAAGTCAGTCTTAAATTGTTCGATCCACGTCAAGCACCTCGAGGGAGGTAGGCAGGATGATCAGTCTCTGTAACGAGGGCGTTACGAAGTTGGGTGAGAGAGAATGTCACGGATTTAAGGAAGAATCTTGAATCCCACATCAAACATAATCAGAAGGTCACTGGGGTATAAAAGGGTTCACACCATTTTCGCCTTATGAGACACTTTTTGTAAGATAAAATCGTGATATCAGGGTGGGTCAGAGTTAGGGATGGCATCGGGGCAAGGCGGGTCGGTTTTTCACTTTCCCCGCCTCCGACCCAATGCTTTAATGCTTCTACCTGATACCCGACCCGTCCCCGTTCGGAGGTTGTAGCTGAAAAACCCGACTCCGATCTGTTTAAATATTATTTACCCGAATTTTACCCGACCTGATCCTAATTTAATCTTTAAAGCACCAACGTTTCTGTCTCCTTCTCTGCCTACCACTGTTTTCGTAATTTCAGTAATTGTTAAAAAAAGAAAGCCGATGCAAGGTTTCTGGAATTGGAATTGGAGGTTCTAAAGTGGAAAAGTGACTGTGAAGCACTTGAATTAGATTTAGGACATTAGAAGCCTCAAAGCTTGTACTTGAGGATGAAGTTAAGGTTTTAAAGAGTCAGAATAATGAAGTTGGTGATCTGATTACGGAGAGCGACAATGAAGAGATAGTTAGCTATGGAGGAAAAGGGGTGACAGAGTGAGTTGTTGATTTGACCAAGGAGAATGACGAGATAGGGTTTTTCAGCTAACGACTGAGAATAAGGTTTTGGAATGTGAGAAGAGTAAGGCTGAAACCGATACTGAGGTTTGGAAGCAAAAGAAGGAATTGAAATCATTGACGTTACAGGCGAGAGAGCGACGAAAAGAAATTAAAATTCAAAAACCCTAAAAAAAATTATATATATATCTTAAGGGTATTTTGGTAAATATTTCGGGTCGGGTAGGGTCGGATTTCATACAAACCCGACCTCGACCCGAATCCGATATTTTAAAAAATAAAACCGACCCGACCCGACATTAAACCCGATTTTTGAAAAAAAATTCGACCCTAAAATAGTCGGGTCGGGTCGAAACCCGACGATTTCGAGTTGATTTTTCAACCCTAGTCAGAGTAGATAATACCTCATAAAAGTGTGAACCGTGGTAGAAAGATTGATCTGAAACATCGAAATGATGAATGTTCGAGTCTCAAAATCGTTCGAGTTCGAAGTTTAAGTCTCAACCCGTGACACATAAACTTTGAACATTCGCTTAAGAGAATAATTGCAGCTAATAATATCAATAATGTTTTAATGGATTTAAAAAGACAAGTAGAATAAAAAATTCAAAATTTATAATTTTCATTCTTATCTCTTATTTAATATATAAAAAAAAAACAGGTATAAAAAATATGAAAATGATTGAGAAGGATAAGGTTCATCCTAACTCGTCAATCGGAAAATGTATTTTCATTTTGCTTATTAACCCTATATTTTTGTTGTTAAAAGATTTGATAAACTTTGCAAGCACTTAAGGTTGTTACATGTAGGTCAATTGACACAATTATTACTAGAATCTCTAGTTTGAAATAATTAATGTAGAAACGAAGAAAATCATTCCCAAAATTAATAATATGCTTTATTTGAAATTTATTATATGTTTGATCAGTGATTTTTCCATTTAAAAAACATATATATATTTAAACATGTACGTTTACGTATATTACATAATGGGTGGCCAAATTCTAATTATCACATAAATTCCAATAATTAATTTTGATTTAACTCGATTATGTTTGAACAGTACGTGTGCATGTACTTTCCTAAATAGTGTAACAGTCCACAATTAAATTTGTCTTGGGGCCATTTTGTGCCAAAACTTTCTTTTTGTCAAACATTTAATTAATTATTCAAGATTTTATCCTAATGTCAAATATCCTTTCATTATTGGAAATGGCAAGTGCTCAACCCACTAAACCTACACATCTCCGTATATATAATTGATAATATATTTACTCCATTACTATATTACATGCTTGAGCCAAATCAATCTATACATAGGATCCTAATTATATCCCTTAATGTACCCTTATCTTATTTTTCTATGCATGCTTTCATGCCACAAATTACCTAGTATGTCAACATACAAACAGAAATTAATTAGTGCAAAAAAAATAAAATTTTGTTGAGAAAATACTAACAGATACTTATTGACATTATTTATTTCTTTATTTTCATTTTAATATTAAATTTTCGGTTAAGTTTCAAGTCAATGTCTAACCTATTAACTTAAAATTGTGATAGGAATAGAAATTTCATAACCAATATTTAAAGGACAAATTGTTTTGTTTTGTAATAAATTAAATAAAAAATTAGTTATGAATTTAGAATGAAATGATTGAATATAAAATTATTAATTTCGAAATGTCGAAAGAGGACGTAAAGAAGCCAAAAATATCAAAGTGTCAGAGGGCTAATTACGTCAAACAAGGGAATTTTCAAACATTTGGGCCGTTGGAAGTTGGTTGGAAGTTGCAACGACACCAAAACCGAGATCCGTGCTTTTTGCCGCCATATCACTTGCAGCCTTACATTTCTCCCTCTCCCGCAAAACTCCGGTCTCAAAAAAAGCGACCAAGGAAAGAAAATAAAAGGGAAAAAAGCTCCCTAATTTTCACCTCCGTTTCCAAAGACAATCAAATCCGATTTTGTTCATCGCGGAGTGAGTTTCCTCTATTAAGTCTTCGTGGAAAGTCCAATTGAGAAAAGCCACGCCATTGTCAGGTTTGTTCGTTTCTCCTGCTGTTTTCTCCTTTTATCCAAATTTCAAGATGGAATGCCTGACATTTCATGACTTTTTTTTTAGGGTAAATCGTATCGATACTCAGCGAGGAACGAAATGGCGACTCTTCAAGACATATCAGTCTCAGCTGCTATTAATCTTCTCTCTGCATTTGTGTTCCTAGTGGCTTTTGCAATATTGAGGCTTCAACCGTTCAATGATAGGGTTTACTTCCCGAAATGGTACCGAAAGGGGATAAGAAACAGCCCTAGACGATCTGGAGCATTTGTATCCAAATTTGTCAACTTAGATTGGAGGACATACATTAAATTCTTGAATTGGATGCCTGCAGCTTTGAGAATGCCTGAACCAGAGCTCATTGATCATGCTGGACTTGATTCTGTTGTCTATATTCGAATTTACCTTCTCGGGTCAGTTTTTAGATACCCATTTGGATGATATTTTTGCTATTTATCTTGAATTTCTTTAGAAACAAAAAAAAAAGTGTGATATTACATAGAAATCTTTATGAGAATTTAAAAATAAAATACCGAATTCTTTTTCTTTTTGTCAAATCAAATGCATGATTTACTTTATAGTTTATACTATGAAATAATTATGTTAGAATTAGTGTATTTAGAGTTTCAAGTTGTTGTTTGCTCTGGATACAACAGTCTAATATGATAGCATTTTTGTGCAGTTTGAAAATAATTGTCCCACAAGCAGTGCTGGCTTTCTTGGTTTTGGTCCCTGTCAATTGGACGGGGGAGACATTAGAGCGTAGTAAGAATTTAACTTTCAGCGACATTGACAAGCTCTCAATATCAAATGTTCCAGACGGATCAAAAAGGTCAGGAATAGTTTTTTTACTCTTTTCTTATCGAATGCTATACTCTGGTTGTCATCTGGAATTCGTCTGCTACAAAATTGGAAAAGATTGGAGTCTCAGTTTGGTTTATAGTAATACTAGACCTTCCCTACAGCACTACTGATGTAATTTTTGTTCAAAGTAGAATGTGAGGCAGGTTTTTCTTATTTCAATATCTATGTTATGTGCAGCACTGAGGAAGTGGGTTGCAAACTATACTAAATACCGAGTTACAGTACATCAAAATTCTTTTGAGTTCTCAAACCTGATTCTTATATTTTTTTTGGTTTGTTGCTACATGTTCTCAAAGTCCTCATGCAGTAACTTACCATTTTTGGGCTGAATGGTTCGAACCCCTGGTGCAATTGTTCTAATATAAGTACTAGCCAAAAGTGAAGCTTGCGCTTGGTACTTTCTTTTCAAAGGGGTTGTGCATAAGGTGGCACGTTAGAGATAAAAATCCAGTTTTAGGCCCTCATCCTAATAATTAAGTACCTTGTCTCTTCTCCTTTTTAGCATTTAGATGCACCGCAGCACCAGAGTATTGTTGTGACAAAAATTTCAATTTGCACAAAATATCTGTTTCATTTCTCAGTTAGGAGAAAGTCTCAAATTATCTTTTTAGGTTCTGGGCACATATCGGTATGTCGTATGTATTCACACTTTGGACGTTTTATGTACTATATGCCGAGTACAAAGCGGTAGCTGCTATGAGGTTACGATATCTAGCTTCAGAAAATCGTCGTCCTGATCAATTCACGGTAAGTTTTTGCTTTTTTTCAGTGCTTAATGCCTATATTGTTGTTATGCTATATGCAAATGCAGCTATTTACAATTGTCGACTATCTTAGAAAGGTTGATTTGTTGAATGCACTAGAATTTCTGATTAAAAAACATCAAAACACATGAATATCCAGATTCTGTTA